TTGCCTGAGGTTTCGCCCTCTGCCTGGAATTGAACTCAGGTCTCTCAGTTGCAAAGCGAGTGCTCTAACCACTGAGCTACAGGACTCCACGACTGTAAGTCAGTCTCTCTATCTCTCCCATGAAACACAGGCACTGCACTTTATAATATATTTTCAGTCTTTCTCAGTCTCTCTTCCTCTCAGTCTCTCGCTCTGAGTCTCTCTCTCTCTCTCTCTCTCTCTCTCTCAGTCTCCCTTTATCTCTAACTCAGTCTCTCTCTATCTAACTCAGAGTCTCTCTCTTTGCCTCTCAGTCTCTCTCTCTCTCTCTCTCTCTCTAACTCAGTCTCCCTCTCAGATTCTTTCTCTCTGTCTCTCCCACAAAACACAGTAACTACACTTTATAATATATTTTCTTTCACAGTCACTTTCATATTATCTCTCACTCTCCTGAGACTCTCTCTCAGTCTCTCTTTCTCTAACTCATTCTCTTTGTCTCTCTCTTTTTCTCTCAGTATCTCTCTGTGTCTCACAAGAAGAAAGTCACTACACTTTATAATACGTTCACACTCACCCTCTCTCTCAGTCAATCTCTCGCTCTCCGTTTCTCTCCCAGTCTCTCACTCCGTTTCTCTCTGAGCCTCTCTCGCTATCTCTGACTCTGTTTATCTCTCACTTAATCTCTCTCTGTCTCTCGCTTGTCACTCTCATTCTCTCTTTCTGAATCTGTCTCTCTCTTTATCAGCCTCTTACGCTCTCAGTCCCCGTCTGTCTAACAGTCACTCCACGTTTTCTCATTGTCTCTCTCACAAAACAGTCACTGCACCTTATAATATATTTTTGTCTCAGTCTCTCTCACTCTATCTCTCTCTGTGTCTCTCAGAATACACAAAGTACTTACTATACGTTATATTTCCTCTCACATTCTATTTCTCGCTTTCTCTTAGCCCCTCTCTCTCTCTCTGTTCTCTCTCAGTCGCTTTGTCTTAGTCTCTCTCTCAGTCTTTTCCACAAAACAGACTGTACACTTTATAATATATTTCCCCCCTCAGTCTCTGTCTCACAGTCATCGTGTCTAATTCAGTCTAATCCTCTCTTTCTCTTTGGTTTTCACTTTCTCTCTCTCACGCAGTCTCTCTGCCTCTCGCTCTCTCTTTCTCTCATGAAGACGCTCTCTCAGTCCCTCTCAATCTCTTTTTCTAACTCTCTCTCCATCTCTCTCTCTGTATCTGTCATTCTCTCTCTCTCTCTCTCTCTCAGTCACTCTCTCTCATTTTCACTCTCTCAGTCTCTGTCTCACCCACAAAACATACTGTCACTACAATACACAATATTTTCTCTGTCACAGTTTTTTTCCAATCTCGCTCTGCCTCTCGCTGTGTCTTTCTCTCATTCAGTCGCTGTCTCAGTCTCAGACTCTCTCTGAATCTCTGACTCTTTCCGTCCGTCCATCTGTTAATCTTCCTGCCTGTCTGCCTGTCTGTCGGTGCGGGACTGTCTGTCTGTATGTCACTCTGATTTCTGTCTCTCTGTTTGTCGGTCTGTCTCTCTGTCTGTCTGTCTCTCACTCTGTCTCACTATCTCTGTCACTCTCTCTCTGTCTGTGTCTGTCTGTGTCACTCTCTTGTGTCTCTCTCTCTCTATCTGTCTGTATCTCTCCCTCTTTTTGTCTGTCTCTCTGTCTGTCTATCACCCCCGCTCCACCCATCAATCTCTCTGTCTCAGTCTCTGTCTATCGCTCTGTCTTTCTCTCATTCGGTCTCCCGTTCAGTCTCTCCCACAGTCTGTCGTTATGTATCTCCCGGAAAACACATTCACTGGATGTTTATATTCCTCTCATAGTCTCTTTCTCTGTTCTCTCTCTTACTCTCTCTCTCTGTCTCTCATTGTGTCTCTCTCTCAGTCTCTCTGTCAGTCTCTTTCTCTGTCTCTCTAACAATCTTTCTATCTTATCTCTCTATCTCTCTGTCTCTCTCTTTCTGTTTCAGTTTCTCTCTCAGTATCTAACTTTCTCTCCAATTTCTCTCTCTACCAGGCTCTCACTCACACCATTTCTCTATCTGTCAATTGCTCTATCTTTCTCTCACTCAGTCTCTTTCTCATTCTTTCTCTAAGTCTCTCGCTCTGTGTCTCTTATTCTCCCTCTCTCACTGCTTCGCTGTTTATCTATCAGTAGCTCTTTCTGCCTCTCTCTCTCTGCCTGTCAGTCTATCGTGCTCTCATTTTCTATCTCTCGCTCTTTCTTTCAGTATATCTCCCAGTCTGTCTCTCTCTCTTTCTCTCGCTCCCAGAGTCAGTGTCTCTCTTTGTCCGACTCTCAGTCTCGCTCTCCATCTGTCGCCGTCTTTCTCTCATTCAGCCTCTCGCTCAATCTCTATCAGCATCTTTCGCAGTCTCTCGCTGAATCTCTCCCACAAAGACATAGTCACTACAAATTATATGTCCTCTCACAGTCTGTACCCTTTCTCTCAGTCTGTTTATTTCTTTGTCTCTCTACCAGTCTCTTCCTCTCTCAATCTTCTCTCTCAGTCTTTCTCTCTCAGTTTCTTGTCCCACCTGTCTTTCCCACAAAACACAGAGTCACTACGGTTTGTAATATATTTTCTCCACAGTCACTCTCAGTTTCTCTCTCTCTCTCTCTCTCTCTCTCTGTATCTCTCCCAGGCTCTTTCTCTCTCTCGTAATACTCTCTCTCAGTCTAACTCTCTTTTTCTGTCCTTCGCTTATCTTTCTCTCTCCCAGTTTCTCTCTCTCTCAGTATCCGTTTCTATCTCAGTCTCTCTCTCACAGTCTCTCCCTTACAGTGCCTCTCCCTCTGACTCAGTCTCTCTCTCTGTATATCGCTCTAACTTTCTGTCACACAGTCGCGCTCTTATTATCTTTCTCTTTCTGTGTCTCTCACTCACTCTCTCTCAGTGCTCTCTCTGCCTCCCCCCTCCCCTCTCTGGGTGTCTCTTGCTGCCCACCTCCCTCTCTCTGTCAGTCTATCTCTCTCAATCTCTACCTCTCTCTCAGTCTCTTTCTCTCTCGCAGTTACTCTCTCTCTCTCAGTCTCCCGTGCTTTCAGAGAATGAGCCAGAGGGAATCAAATGCAAAATGACTGTGTGTTTTTCTTTGAGAGACACAGAGAGAGAGAGAAGGAAACAGAGAGAGAGAGAGGGTGACTGAGTGACAAAGAGAGAGAATAGTAGTGAGAAAATAACTGCAAAAGAAATAGAAAATGAGACAGAGGTAGCGAAGAGAGGGAGACTGAGAGGGAGAATACATTATTAAGTGTATGGTAGGAGGCTTTTTCTCTCTCTTAGAGAGGAGACAAAGTGACTGACAGAGAAAGAGAGAGAGGCAGAGAGAGAGAGAAGCACAGGGACTGTGTGTGTATGTGTGAGAGAGAGCGAGAGAGAGAGACACACAGAGCGAATTCATTAAAAAGTGTAGTGATTGTGTTTTGTGGGAAAGAGTGAGAGGGACTCAACGGAAGAGCAGTGAGTGACAGATTGGAGAGAGACTTAGAGTGAAGCAAGAGACCAAAGTGAGATTGAGAGGAACGAGAGAGGACGAGGAGAAAGACTGACAGCGAAAGGAGAAAAAGGCAGTGAGAGATATATTCCAGTGTATTTTGTGGGAGAGACGAGAGAGAGAAAGAAAGATGGGTGAGATGAGCAGAATATATATGTGTGTGTAGCGAATCTGTGTTTTGCGGGAGTGACAGAGAGACTGAAACTGTGAGAGGAAAAGACTGAGAGAGAGACTGAAAGAGAGAGAATAGAGAAAAGAGACAGATATAGACGGACTTATAGAAGAGAACAGAAAGAGAGAGACATAAAGTAAAAGAGACTGAGAAATAATATATTATAAAGTATATTGACTGTTTGTTTTGTGGGAGATGGAGAAACACAACTGTTTGTGGAAGCAAAGTGTAGCTGGTGTAAGAGACAGCATCAGATAACATAATTATAATAATATGCGTTGCATTTGTTACAGACCTTATCTGGACAAGACGCCTTAACATTCTGGGCTGCTGGGGCACAGGCAGTGGGATCTCCCCAGTGCCTGGTCCTGGCAGCAGACAGTTTACGCTGCGTCTATTCCAGCAGCACTGTAACCCTCAGTCGGTGTGTGAGTGAGGCTAATGTCTTGGCTTCTGGAAGCCCGGCTACAATCTCCAGGTTCTGGGCAGTGTATCTCTCTATTCTCTCTTATCCAAACACTGTGTGTCCCAGACCTGGGAAAGAGAATCTCTGTGGCTGTGAGATTCAGGAGCTGGAAATGGAGACTCTTCACCAGGGCCAGGGGAGCCCACACCTGTCAGACTAATGTTAGGCTGAGGGTGATGTGTTTGGGGTGAATTATATTGTTTCAGTGTTATAACATTGTACTGGAGAGAGGGTGTGTCTGGAAAAATGGGATGGCCAAGCCCTCGGGAGTCTTTTTACCCTGGATACAGCACTGAGGGAGGACTGCCGCCAGGAGGAGAGGATACAGGAATCCTCCGCCGAACCACACGGTTCAGGAGAGTGAGCCCTCGGTCCTGAGCTGGTGGGAAGCTCAGAGGCTTAGAGTTAGAAGGGTGTCTGTGTGTCAGGACTCTGTGGTCAGGGAACCATTCCTGTATGAATAACCATGAAACACCGAATGGTGTCTCTGAACGTAATCTCTGGTCTGTCTGACCTGGGATCAAGTTACAATTTATTCAATAAAGTGGGCATCCCAGTCGGGAGTCAGGAACCAATCCCAATAACATCAGAAACCAGGAAATGCCACCGAAGGGCTCAGTGTGTGGAGCAGCCTGGTGTGCAGTGGAATGTCAGGCATTCACATCCCAATCCCCAGGGCAGGATTGTGGTGTGTGACGGCCATCACACTGTGACCCACTGTTCCCTCCAGCTGTATGATACCATTCTCCCATTGATCAGCTGGTGTTTAATGTCATTGAATTTCTGGAAAATGGCTTTGATTGTGCTGTGTGACAGCCATCACAGTGTCACTCATTGTTCCCCCTGTTAGAATGGGTTTGAAATAAGAATAATAGGATTAAGATTTACAAACAGAGTAACTTACAGCAACTCTTGACACTTGTGCAGAGCAGGAACCAGACGCTGGAGACCCTCCTCCTGAATGTAGCAGTTCATCAGATTCAGTTGTTTTATTGTGTCACACAGTCCAATGGCCTGAGACACCACAACACAGTCTATCGGTGTCAGTCTCAATGCATTCTCTGGAGACAAGTCACCAAATGTCAGTGTGTGTACGGAGCCCAGTGAGAGCTGTGCCAGTGCTTGATTCTGAGACTCAAACAGGTAGTGGAGTGTGTTCAGCAGCTTCCTTTTCGCAGTGACGGTGTCTGTGTCCCTGATCTGAGCTTTAACCTTCTCCTTCAGCCAATCGATCACCGCGCAGGTTGTCTGATGGACAAATGGCCCAAGAAATTCCTCCAGTGGCTGAGCTGCCCGTGGGGAGGAGAGACCAGCAACAAAGCGCAGGAATATCTCAAACCGTCCGTCCGCTTTACTGTGAGCTTTATTCAGGAGATTCCGCAGATTTCCTGGATTCTGAGGCAGGAACTGAGCGAGTGCGGCTACAAACTCCTGGATGGTGAGGTGCGGGAATGTGTAGACCACGCTGTGCTCTGAAGACTCTCTCTCCACAAGTTCCATGAGAAAGCCAGAGAGGAACTGGGAAGGCTGGAGGTTATATTTCATCAGATCTTCCTCATTAAAGACAATGTTTCTCTGGGAGACTCCAGCGAAGGCCATCTCACCAATCTTCAGCATCACATCACGGGGGCTCTCCATCTTGACACTGTGATGTGATAGTATGTTATAAATATAATAGGAGAAGAGTTGTGTGACTGTCTTGGGAACTCGCTGTTTGTTGCTGTGTGTCCGTGTAAAGAAGGGACCCAGAGACAGAGCGAGGATCCAGCAGTAGGACGGGTTGTAGCACATGGTGAGCAGGAGCTCGTTCTCCTCCACGTGGCTGTAAACAGCAGCCGCCACCTCCTGATCCTCAAAGAACTTGTGAAAATATTCCTTTCTCTCTTCACCCACAAATCCCAGGATTTCAGCCCAGACACTGACCTGAGCCTTTGCCAGTAACTGTAATGCAGTGGGGCGGCTGGTCACCAGCACTGAGCAGCCTGGCAGCAGCTTTTTCTGTATTAAACTGTACACAATTTCAGACACGTCACACCAGAAACCGGGGTCTGTGCATCTGCTCTGAGACTCTGCTTCTCTCCAACTGTCAGCGAAATCAATGCTTCCCCTGAATTCATCCAAACCATCAAATATAAAGAGCAATCTCTCTGGGTGTTTCCACAGCTCGTCCAGAACATAACTGAGGTACGGATATTCATCCAAGATTAACTGTCTCAGTGTTAATCTGATGTTACGAGCGTTTAGGTCTCGAAATTTCAAAATAAAAACAAAGTGGAAGTGAGGATAGATTTTTCCTGTGGCCCAGTCATGGACAATCTTTTGCACCATGGTTGTTTTTCCAATCCCCGCCACTCCACTCACTACTGCAGAAGTGCCTGTGAAAGTGCCAGCGTCGCTTCTTTTGTAGAATTCTTTCATCTGGGAAAATAGTCCTCCTCTAGAGAAGCTGCTGTGGAACAGTTTATCAGTTCGGATTTTTTCCAGTTCTCTCCGGAGTTGCTTCTGTCTCCACTCCTCGTGGTCTCTGCCTCTCGCCAGCAGCTCATGTTCTACCAGTTCCCGGTGCCGTACATCAGAAATGATAGTTAGCTCCGTGTAGCGATCAACCAGCTGAAATGTCTTCACCTTCTCCTTTATCAGGATAGTCTTTACTTCCAGTTTCTCACTTTGTTTTTGCAACGTCTCCTTGTGCTGTCGTTGAGCATCTTCAATTAAAGCAATCACATTGCGGTTACACTCACCGTCTGGCAGATAATACACACAGTGTGAATTTTCAGTGTGGAGATGGTGTAAATGTGTGGAGGCGCAGTAAGAGACGTAGTCTTCAAAAGATCTTTAAATACAAATAAAGATACAGATTGTGGAGCGGTGGAAGTGCACAGAAGAAGGAGGTTGGAGAAAGTCAAAAAGATAAGAAGGGGTAGGAGAGTATCAGCATATGAAGTGGAGATTGAACATCTTCAATCCAATGCGCGGGGGCCAGGATGACAGTGAAGTCTGTTGAGGATGGAGGTAATTGGCATGTGAAGCACAGGGTGTGTAGGGTAGGGGGCAGCTGAATTTGGATGTGTTGGAAATTGATAGATGGTAAAGCTGTTGATGGCAGTCAGGAGTGAACAGTACAATTAAACTGATGCCCCTCCCATTCAGCTGCCAGATGATTTGTAGTTTCTGCAAATCTCAGAGTAAACGGCAAATTTTCAAACACTGCATTTCAGAAATAAATCCACTGTTTACGCCATGAACTGATCACATACCTTTAAGTGCACTGGGTACATCTGGTACATGTTTGTCAATCATCACCTCATTTACGAGACTGTCGCCTGTTTGTGTAGTGAACATTTCATTAGTTGAAGTTAATGACATATATAGGGTATCTGTGTAAAATACGTAATTGATTTGGGAATTGAATCACGATAGAATTATCCATTACCTTTCTCTTGTATGTCAATCATTATTTTGTTCAGTTTGGGCAAAGTGTGTTTCATTTCCACAAAGGATTCCCACATCACTCTCTGAACTCGGGAACCTTTCCCCAGCACCAGGTTCAGAAGAAGTTTGGAGCTTCGTCTCCTTTGCCCACTGTGTGTGAGCTCAGTGAGTTTCTGCAGAGAGTGAGCATTAATAAGAGTGGGCTCTGGTTGTGATAAGAAAATGGCCATTTCCATAATAGTGTGTCTCCTCATGCTGGATGAGGAATCACAGGCACATGTTGCCCTCCGTTACCCCATCCAAATGATCATTTCTCACATGTGAGACTTGCCAGTGCGTTTACTGTAGAACAACATAGCCGAGTCTGACCGCTCCTCACCCGCCGGTCACAAACAGTGAGCTGAAGTTTTAGCCAGTGCACTATCGGGACAGTGTGTGTTGGATACCGTCTCCAAAGGAACAAATGTAAATCAGCGATTCAGGGAGATGCTTATCGCTCATTTATTGCATCAACGTGGAGTCCTCCCAAGCTCCCTGCATCCATCCTGATGTAACTATGACTCGCTCCCTCCCGTCTCATGCTCAAACACGCCTCTTCGAACATGTGCTCGGTTATCTTTAACCCCCTTCCCAGTTCCCACCCCAGATCGAGTGCCCAACCATAATTACCAAACACTTTGAGATGTCTAGCCAATGTGAAAGGCACAATAGAGATGAAAACTGGATGTCTTGTAATAAGATGGATTCAAATACTTTGGGCAACCGACTATCATATATATACATATATCACACAGGATAAATTATGCAGTTTATCAATAAACACTTCCCATCTGACCACCTACTTGATATTCCTCTTGGCTGAAATATTCCTTCCTTGTCAGCACTGAGATGACAGTCTCCACATCTTCCTCAATGGCCTGTTCTATTCTGTCCCGGTAGAACTTAGTGATTCTGAACAACTCGTATCCGTTGTATAGGGCGAGGGTCTTGGAGAATGTGTCACTTAAACCTGTTGGCAGTAAGTCGGTCAATAAAACTAACTTCATACCAGAATGTATGTTCGTATCTTAAATACATTTTGTGATTAATCATTGTATGTCAATCTCGCTCAGTGGTAGCCCTCCTGCCTCTCAATCAGAAGATTGTGTGTTCAAACCCCACATCAGGATTTGAAATCATGTGGTCTAAGGTGACGCTCCTATGCAGTGCTGGGGGATTTGTTGCACTGTTGTACATCCATCATTCAGATGAGATGTAAATCTTAGTTCCTGTCTGGCTGCTTAAGCTACTTTAGAAAAGAGGAGAGAATTTGCTGGCCTAGAATTGCCCAAAATAAATTCGATCATTCAGTTCATGACTGTTTGTGGGACACTGCTGAGCGTGAACTTGCTGCTGCATTTCACCCACAAAATACGGAAGCAACATCATGTTACACTCTATCCCATTAAGTCCTTCGAGTTGTATCGACCAAGTAATAAGACTAAATCAAACGCAAGGATTGATAGTATTATAAATGTTATTGTCATTGTGTAAATGTAAGCGGATTTTCTGAACTTGCCTGTCTCAATTTGGTTCCCTTCGTTATCTGTCAGTGTTGGATTTGGATTGGGAGCCTGGGCCATGATGATTTCAAGCGATCAGAAATTGTTCACAGATCAGCTGTTTGGTGAAACAGATAGTAATCAGCAAAACACAAAATACTGCACATACTAAAATTTGTAAATGTTGGACTGCTGTATTTGTTTAAGCTTCATTGTGATAACAGCATTCTGAGCATCACGCAACAACAAAAGTAAATGATGTCCACTGTATTAGTGAACAAATAAGTAGTAATAATATTAATCTTGTATTATTATCATTGCATTTGATGTAATGCCAATCATGTGACTGAACCATCACAAAGCGCAAAAAGAATATAAATCTAAGTGAATTGGTTATATATTTTTGGGGTAAAATGCAGATTGCAGTCAGCAGAGTCCCACAATAAATCACGGATTGAGTGACCAATTGTTTTTAAGGGATTATTGTCTCCATAATACTGATCCGCCAATCGACTTATAATCGGGTTTCTACTTACTGCTTGGTAAACAGAGGCACGTGGAGTGCGGCAAATTGCCCAACATTTCATCCTGGCCGGGAATTGAACCAAGGTCTTCCCACTTGCGAGCGAGTTCCCCAGCCACTCAGCTGCAGGACCCCATAACTACAAGCAACTGTCAATCAAACAAGGGTTTATCTAAAAAATAGTTTTCTGTGACACTGGGAAAATCCATTCTGCAAAATTTAGGCAAGTGTGGGAAAGATGTTCGTTTGACATCATTTCCGACATACGACGCCCTGATAATACAGCGCTCCCTCACTGCTGTGCTGCATTATCTCTCAGCCTGGTCTGTGAGCTGAAAGTCAACAATCAGCCCCACAATATCCGGGGGCGTGAATACCCAATAAATTATGTACTGTACACGCAGTGCACTAGAACCATTTTCACCGAAATCATTTCTACTTGTCGTCAAAGGGAAAAGAAATGGCGGCATGCAGTCAGGAAGTTTAATGTGGAACATTAAATCTGGTTTCAATCACGATGAAAGCTAGTGAACAATACTCAGAAAGATCCAGGTTCTCTACACCATCTCCAGATTCAAAATAGACTGAAAAGCTGAGTTACAGGGATGAATTATAAACCAGCGTTAAATATTCTGTGGAGCTTCACCTACGAAAAGAGTCATCACAGAGAAGCCAGCAAAACAAAAGCAACAGCAATAATACAGCGTCCTTCACTTTTTTAGCATCTCAGAGACTAAACGGCAGTTTGGTTGCTGAACTGAATTTTAATTTTGTCAGCCGAGTGTCTGAAACCCTTGAAAACCCATCAACAAACCGCACATTATCCAAATAAAGCTGACATGTCCATGCATCCCACCTACATGTTGAAACTACTGAGATCGATTATACGAATCGAATGAGCATCCTCTCTCTGGAGTGTCCATCCTGCTTAACTGCGGCTGGAAAATACTAGGCACAGGTTGGCAAGAGCCAAGGCTTGTGGGAGCCCTGTAATTGTTTTGGGGTAACTGCTGGAGTCTAACTACACAAAGAGCAAGATGGAAGGATTGAGGCAATGACTGACAAAAGCGTCTGCCCAGCTTCTTAAAGCAGTGTACCGGAGAACGAGAAGGATCATGGCTAGTTTTAGGGGAACCAGCTACGAACATGGATTAAACAAGCTCAGGATAAAGCCATTCAGCCCGTCCAGTCTGGCAGGTGCTAATATTCCACGAGGGCCCTTCGTTAATCAACAATATTTCGGATCAATCAAGTTCATGAGTAGATGTTGGGGAACATTTCTCCCTTAAACGATGTCACGATGGTTAGTTAAATTAATTAAACAGATTACATTTAAATTATTCCATGATCACTGGCTCCGGGTTTATTTAATAGCATTAAACTTTCACTAACTACAAAACAACAAGTTGCATTTATCTTGCGCTGGCATCTCCCAGCGTTTAAAACCTGCAGTAACTTTCCTGCTTTTTTTCAGCCACAATCAGAGCAAATTAGAGACTCACCGTCTTGTCTCCCCGCTGACTGAGCTCCGGTTCTTGCCTCTGGTTTCCGAGCCTCTCAGTGATGAGCTTCAGTGTTCTGGGCTGTACAGGTAATAACACACACTGGTCAGAGTCCAGTAGCTAATGTCTGGCAGTAAATCACAACCTCGCCCTGTTCCCTTGGAGATTTCCACAGAAAAGAAATGCTTATCAGCGATAAAAGTTTCACTGTTCGGGATTAAGTGCCTAAAGCACCAATTTAAGATCGTTAACAAACGAGCATATGAGGATATTTGGTGATTTTTTTTCCTGCACAGGTGGTTGTTTGGTTATGGAAAGCCCTGCGGGAGGGATGTTTCATGCAGAATCCATGTTTGCTTTCGAAACATATCCAGATATCTATCTGAAAGGAGTGAACTATCTAAAGCGCGATTTGCGAACAGAGTAGGAAAATGAGAAGGAAAGGATTGTTATAAAATGTGCCACCACTGTGACCATAAACCGAATAACCTTCTTCTGTGCTGTACATCTCTATAGTTGTTTGTTTGTGGGGGTGGTACAAGATGTTGGCTTCTGGGATTTTTCGAAAAACTAATCGGGAACGGTCCGAAAAAAAATATTGGGGATATTCGTTTTTTATGTTGTGTTAAATATTGTGGATTTTCTCTCTGATTTCCTCTTTTCCTTCTTTCTCACTTTCCCTCTTTCACACTTTCTCTCTATCCTCTCTCAGTCATTGGTTCACCCTTCTCGCTCTGTCTCACAGACACTCTTTCGCTCTCTCAATTCCTCTCTCTCTCCCTCTCTATCCCCCCTTTTCTCACACAGGCCTATCCCTCCACTCACACTCTCTTTCCCCTCTCACAGTCTCTCTATCTCCACTCTCTCGATCACTCACTCGCCCCTCTCCTTCACACTCTCCTCCCACAATATCAGTCACTTTCTTTCACTCCGTGTCTCTGCTTTCTCCCTGTCTCTCTTTCTTTCTCTCACCACTTCAACTCTCTCTCACTCTCTTACCCCTTTCCGTCAATGACTTTCCCACTCACATTCTTACCCACACTCTCACTCTTAAAACAATTCTCTCACCCTCTGCCATAAAGTCACTCACGGCCACTCTCTCACTGCTCTGCTTCCTCCCACTCTCTCTGCTTCTTTCTCTCAACCCATCCACTCTCCACCATTCGCTCTCTACGCCTCTCTTAACATACACACACTCTTTCCCACACTCTCAATCATTCACTCACAGTCTGCTGTCTCTCTCTCTCTCGCTTTTTCCCGGTCTCTGTTTCATTCACTCACCCACGCCCTTTCTATCACTCTCTCCCCCATTTCTAACAACCACTGTACCCTCCAACCCTCTGTCTCCCATTCATTTCTCGCGTACTTTATCTCTCCTTCTCCTATCATTCCAAGTGCTAAAAACCTGAAGTAACTTTACTGCCTTATTTCAGTCACAATCAGAGCAAGTGAGAGACTCACCGTCTTCTCTCCACGTTAACTGAGCTCCGGTTCCTGCCTCTGGTTTCCGAGCCTCTAAGGGATGTGGATTCAGTGTTCTGGGCTGTACAGTAACAACAAACCCTGGTCAGAGTCCAACAGCTAATGTCTGGCAGTAAATCGTAGCCTCGCCCTGTTCCCTTGGAGATTTCCACAGTAACACCCAATGTTTACCTGATATAAAAGTCCTTCTGGTCAGAGTTCAATCCATAAAGCATCAATTTCAGTGAGTTAGCAAACTGGCAAATGGGGGCGTTTGGAGAATTTGTTTTCCTGCACAGTTGGTTGTTGGGTTATGGAAAGCCCTGGCGGGAATGATGTTTGAGTCAGATTCCAGATTGGTTTTCAAATCATCACTAGATACTGATATAAATTGAGAGAACTATCTAAAACGGGATTTAGGAAAAGAGCAATGTAAATCGGACTGAAAGAATTGGCAAAAAAACAGCCACCACAGCCATCCTTCTTCTGTGCAGTACATCTCGATGTTTCTTTATTCGTGGGTGTTGCTCAAAAGGTTGTATTCAGGGATTTTCTTAAAAAAAACTATTCAGTAAAGGAAGGAAAAAATATATTGGATACGCCCGTTTTTTTATTGTGATAAATGTTGTGAAATTTCTCTCATTTTCTCAGTTTCCTCTCACACACTCTCTCTGTCCTCTCTCAATCATTGGCTCGCCCCTCTCGCTCCGTCTCATAGACACTCTTTCACTCTCTCAATTTCTCTCTCTCTCTCTCACTCTCTCTCTCTATCCCCTCTTCTCCCACGCACGCTCTCCCTCCACGCACACTCCCTTCCCCCTCTCACAGTCTCTCTGTCTACGCTCTCTCGATAACTCACTCCTCCTTTTCTACCTGTCTCTTTCACAAACACTCTTCCTCCCACAATCTTAGTCAATTTCTTTCACTCCTGTCTCCACTTTTTCCTTCTGTCTCCATGTCTCTGTTTCTTTCTCTCACCATCTCTCTCACTCTCACACCTTTATGTCAATCACTTCCACCTCACACACACTCTCTCACTCAATAGGTCTCTCTTCGTCTCTGCCATAGAGTCACTCACTGCCACTCTCTCATCGCTTTGCTTTTTCCCTCTCTTTCCCTCCCTGGCTCTATTTCTTTCTCTCACCCCATCCTCTCTCTTCCACTCTCGCTGATACAGAGCAATAGTTGGGAATCTGTTTTCACATCCATCATCAGACTAACACCAGCGTGTCTTTGCCACCTCCCACTTCAAATTTACATTTTGATTCATTTTGACAATCCGCCCAATTCAGAGCATCCTCTGCGCTCTCTACCTAATCTCCTGATCCTGATCTTTGAACCCCATTTGTGTAACAGTCAGCGAAACGTTATCAATGCCAATGTGCAGTGTTGCCTTTTATGGATAATTTCAGTTAATGTAACTGTGGGTTGGGCTCCGGACTTGGGACCAGGAAGATAGTCCTTGAAAGTCAACAACTTGAGCACCATTTTGTCAAAAAAAAATTCCACTTGCGGAGAAAGAGAAAGCAAATGGCGGCATTCAGTCCGTTTGCTTGTAGACTGAAACATAATTTAGTCTTATTTCCTCCAGGGTAAAGCAATTGAGAACCATTCAGCCTCTATAGCATCTCCATATTCGGAGCAGACTGGTCACTCGAATTAGAGGGATGTGTCTTAAACTATCGTTGGACAAGCTGCGCCCAACAAAAGAGACGTCTCAGAGGAGGAAATAAAAACAATAGCAACAACAACTGTATAGTGCCCTTCTCGTGGGTTGCAGCTTGGAGCATATCAGCAGCAGTGTGGTATCTGAGCTGAATTTTTTTGTCAGCCGAGTGTCTGTCCCACCGAAAACCGATCAACAAACCGAACATGATCCAAAACAAAGCTGAGATTTTCATACATCCCAAACTACATATGGAAACTCCAGAGTTAGATGGTTGGAATGGAATGAGCACCCTCCGTCTGGACGGACCACTCTGCTCACTTAATTCGGAGAGCATTAGGAGCAGGTTGGCAAGAGTCAAGGCTGCGGAGACCAGAATGTGTGTTGGGGTAACTGCTGGAGTCCAACCAACCAAAACCGCAAGGTGGAAGGATTGAGGCAATGGCTGACAAAAGCGTCAGCACAGTTCCTTAAGGTAGTGCAGAAGAGAACAACCAGGATGATCACCATTGTTAGAGGAATGAACTATGAACAAGGATGAAACAAGCTGAGGCTCTTGGATTCATAGATGCATAGAAATTACAGCTCAGATTCGGCCCGACCGCCTGGCTGTTGCTCAAATTCCACATTAGTATGTTAACAATAGTTCAGATCAATCAAGTTCCCCAATGGATTTCGGAGACCATTGATTTCTTAAACGATTCTACGATGATTAATTCAAATAACAGCAACAACTTGCATTGATATAGCGGCCTTCGTGCGGGACAGTGTGTCGGAGGAATTTGGAGTGGCGGAGGACATTGAGTATGAGGGAGAGAAGAGGTGACCGTAAGCACAGTCGTAAAGCGAGATCTTCCGTTAATGAACCAAACGGTATTGTAACTCTTGCTCATTCAGTTACTGCTGGTTTCCTTAATTACAATAAATGTTGCACGAACAACAACAACTTGCATTTATATGGGTTTTTCTCTCTGTGCGCTTACAACCTGGGATAATAGTATGACATTATTTCAGCCACAATCAGATCTAATAAGAGACTCACCGTCTTGTCTCCCCGCTGACTGAGCTGCGGTTCCTGCCTTTGGTTCCCGAGCCTCTCAGTGATGAGCTTCAGTGTTCTGGGCTGTACAGTAATAACACAACTGGTCAGAGTCCACAGCTAATGTCTGGCAGTAAATCATAGCCAAGCCCTGTTCCCTTGGAGATTTCCACAGAAACTCAAGTTTACCTGATATAAAAGTCCTCCTGGTCAGAGTTCAATCCCTAAAGCATCAATTTCAGAGAGTTAGCAAACTGGCAAATGGGGACGTTTGGAGAATTTGTTTTCCTACACAGTTGGTTGTTGGGTTATGGAAAGCACTGGTGAGAATGAGGTTTGAGGCAGATTCCAGATTGGTTTTTAGACCATCAGAAGATATCGATCTAAATGGAGTCAACTATCTAAAAAGGGGTTTGGGAAAAGAGCAACGTAAATGGGACTGAAAGGATTTTCATAAAAATAGCCACAGCCATCCTTCTTCTGTGCTGCACATCTACATGTTTCTTTGTTCGTGAGTGTGGCACAAAAGATTGGATTCAGGGATTTTAAAAAAAACTGATCAGTAAAGGAAGGAAAAAATATATTGGAAACGCTCGTTTTTTTATTGTGTTAAATGTTATGAAGTTTCTCTCTCATTTTCTCTTTTACTTCTCACGCAAACTCCCTCTGTCCTCTCTGTCATTGGCTCCCCCTCGCGCTCTGTCTTACCGACACTCTTTCGTTCTCTCAGTTCCTCTCTCTCTATCACACTCATCTCCCACACCAGCCCTCCCTCCACTCACACTCCCTTTCCCTCTCACAGTCTCTCCGTCTACGCTCTCTCGATAACTCACTCCTCCTTTTCTCCCTCTCTTCACAAACACTCTCTCCTCCCACAATCTTATTCACTTTCTTTCACTCTCTGTCTCCATATCTCTGTTTCTTTCTCACCACCTCTCTCCCTCTGACCTCCTTTCTGTCAATCACTTTGCCCCTCACATTTCACTCACATTCTCACACACACTCTCTCACTCAATAGCTATCTCTTCGCCTCTGTCGTACAGTCACTCACTGCCAATCTCTCACCGCTTTGCTTATTCCCTCTTTCCCTCCCGGTCTCTGTTTCTTTCTCTCACCCCATCATCTCTCTACCGCACTCTGTCTCCCCCTCTAACACACACACACTCTCCTTCTCACACTATCGATCACTCACTCACACTCACTCTCTCCCCCCCCCCCCCTCTTCCTGTCTCTGTTTCTTTCACTCATCTACACTCTCTCTCTCTCTCTTTATCATTCTCTCCCTATTTCTGTCAACCATTCTTCCCTCCAACCTCTCCCTCTCAATTCTCATGCGCACTCTATTTCTTCTATCTTCTCATTCCAAGTGCTTAACTTTACTGTTTTTTTCAGCCACAATCAGAGCTAATGAGAGACTCACCGTCTTGTCTCCCCACTGACTGAGCTGCGGTTCCTGTCACTGGTTCCCGAGCCTCTCAGTGATGTACTTCAGTGTTCAGGGCTGTACAGGTAATAACACACTCTGGTCAGAGTCCAGCAGCTAATGTCTGGCAGTAAATCATAGCCTCGCCCTGTTCCCTTGGAGATTTCCACAGAAACTCAATCTTTACCTGCTACAAAAGTTCCACTGGTCGAGGTTTAGTTCTTAAAACATCAATTTAAGACAAACAAATAGCAAACTAGTAAATGAGGAGGTTTGGAGAATATGTTGTCCTGCGCATTTGGTTGTTGGTTTGCGGAAAGCTCTGGCGGAAACGGTGTGTGAGGCAGAATCCATATTGGTTTTAAAAACATGTCTACATATCGATCTAAATGGAGTGAACTATCTACAAATAGATTTGGGAACAGAGCAGGGAAATGGGACGGAAAGAATTGTTATAAATGTGCCACCACATCCACCATACGCTGAATACTCTTCGTCGGTGCTGTACATCTCTATGGTTCTTTGTTTGTGGGTTTGGTACCAAAGTTTGGCTTCAGGGATTTTTGAAAAACTAAACGGGAAAGGAAGAAATAAACTTATTGGAGATGCCATGTTTTAAAAATATTGTGTTAAATGTTGTGGATTTTGTCGCTCATTTTATCTCTTTCCTCTCAGTCTCTCTGGATCACTCTCTCAATCACTCGCTGCCCCCTCTCCTGTTGTTTCTCTCACACATTCCCTCCCTATCTCAGTTACTCTCTCTCACACACCCTTTCTCCCCACACGACAACACCCCTCTCACAATCTCTTTCCTTTCTCACACTCCCTCTATCTCCCCTCTCTCTATCACTCACTCCCCATCTTCACTCTCCTCTTGTGCAAACATTTTCTCCTCCCACAAACTCAATCATTCTCTTTTACTCTGTCTCTGTTTCTCCCTCCTTGTCTCTGTTTCTTGCTGTCGCCACAACCCCACCCCCCACACACTCCCCAACCCGTCTTTCTCTTTCACTCCGTCCACCATTTCGGTCAATCACTCTCGCCCTCTTTTCTCACTCACCCTCTCACACGCTGTCTCTCTTCTATCAGTCTGGGTATCAATCAATCTGTCTCCCCCTCTGTCAAACACTCACTCATTGCCTCTATATCACTTCTTTGTTACTTTCATTCCCTAAATTTCGCTGTTTCATTCTCTCACCCCACACCACTCTATCTCTCTCTACTCCATGTCCATCCACCCCTCTCCCCCCACTGTCTCTCTCATTTCTTACTCACACTCTTACCCACACACACTCTTTCTCTCATTCTCTCACAAACATTCTCCCTCACTGCCCCTCTCCACCACTCTCTCACACACACACACCGTTTCACAATCTCACTCATTCAGTCACTCACTGCTTTCACCATCTCTCTCTCCCTGAATCTGTTTCTTTCTCTCATTCCCATTCTCTCTCTTACACACTCTCCCCTATTTATGTAAATTGGACTGTCTCTCGTTTCTCAGGCGCACTCTCGCTCTCTCTGTCATACTCTCATTCTTTCTCAATTTATTATGTTTCACTTCTGTTAAACATTCTGTCAAGTGCACTGTGATTATACGCTGCAAGAGTTGCACTACATAAAGCATTTGTTGCTGTCTATGTTAATACAACAATAATTTACACCTCCACTTCAAATTCACCTTTGATTCATTTTAACAACCCTCCCAATTTAGAGGATCCACTGTGCTCTCTATCTAATCTCCTGATCGTGATCTTCGAACCTCATTTGTGTAACAGTCATTTAAACGTTATCATTGCCAATATCCAATGTTGCCTTTTATGCATATTTTCAGCTAATGTAACTGTGGATTGGGCTTCGAATTGGGACCAGGAAGATAGTTAAAACATGAGCAACATTTTATCAAAAATCATTTCCACTTGTTGGGAAAGAGAAAGAAAATGGCGGCATTCAGTCCGTTAGAATGTAGACTGCAACATAATTTAGTCTTATTTCATCCAGTGTAGAAGAAGGTGAGAACCATTCAGAAATATGCCATCTTCTCTATAGTGTCAATATATTCGGAGCAGACTGATCTCTCGAGTTGGAGGGATAAGTTGTAAACTATCTTTAGATAATCTACGGAGATTCACCCAGGAAAAGAGACGTCTCAGAGGAGACAATAAAATCAATAGCAACAACAACAATACAGTGTCCTTCACGTGGGTAACATCTCGGAGCACTTAAGCAGCGGTGTGGTTTCGTAGTTGAATTTTTTTGTCAGCCGAGTGTCTGTCGCACATGAAAACCGGTCAACAAACACCGTGAGTGTGTGTTGGGGTAACTGCTGGAGTCTAACCAGCCAAAACCGCAAGATGGAAGGATTGCGGCAAAGAATGACCAAAGAGTCAGCACAGATCCTTAACGCAGTGTAGAGGAGAGCGACCAGGATGATCACCAGTGTTAGAGGAAATAAATATGAACACGGGTTAGACAAGCTGTCGCTCTTAGATTCATAGATGCATAGAAAATACAGGCCATTCGGCCCAACTGTCAGGCTGTTACTTATACTCCACATGTCTATGTTGACAGTTGTTCAGATAAATCAAGTTCCCCCTATGGATTTTGGAGACCATTTATACCTTAAACCATACTAAGGTGATCTGTTCGAATAACGACAGCAATTTGCATTGATATAAACATCATAAATATAATCTTACAGAGCTGGGGGTCAAACCAGACGCCAAGATTGTGCACAGGTTCAGTAAGTCTGAGGGAGAGCCCATGGAGGTTGAGGAGCTCAGATCCGCAGGAGTGAATACTTTGACGGCAGCCAAAGAGTATCGCTTCCATTTTGTCCATATTCAGCGGCAGGAAGTTTGCTCTCATCCAGGCCACGATGTCTGTCAGTCAAGATGATGGAACATTCGTGGACCTGGAGTCGATACTGGATAAGACAAAGTAGATTTGTGTACCATCAGCATATATGTGGACGTTTACTCCATATCTGCGGATGATATAGCCCAGAGGGAGCATATAGATGAGGAAAAGAAGAGGGCCCCAAATGGAGACCTGGGACAGGAGGAGAACATGTTTGCCGAGATGAAGTCGGGGCTCTTTGTTAAGTAGAGTTCAAACCATGCGAGTGCTGTCCCACTGAGGAAGATGATGGAGGAGGTGGTGGAGGAAGATTACGTGGTCATCCTTTTCGAACACTGTATAGAGATCCAGGAGGACGAGGAGGAAGAGAGAGTCCTGATCACAGATACAGAGAACATTGTTTGTGACTTTGACAAGCGATGTCTCTGTACTGTGGGCAGTCAGGAAGAAAATCAGACTGCAGGGGCTCGAGGAGGAAATGGAGGGAGAGATGAGACCAAAGTTGACCGGCAACAATGCGTTTGACAAGGAGGGCCAGAATGGAAATACTAGGATGCAAATGGGATAGTTATATTAGGGGTTAGAGAGATTGAGGGGTTGGGGGTGGTTTGAGGAGGGGATTGATAAAATCAAAGTACTATATCAAGGACAAGGTATGANTTTTTTTAATAATCTGCATGTTATCTGCATCATAATGAATATGTACAACAGAGAATAAAAAGGTACGAGCTAAACAGCAAAGTTTCCAGATGTACCTGGTGAGTGGGCCTTCAGCAACTCTGTCCCCACCATTTGGAACTCCTTTCCGTAGTCCCACTGACTCGCTCCCTCCCTCAGCTTCTTCAACACGCAACTCAGGACCTTCCGCTTCAACAGTAGTTTCGATCACCTTCCTTCCACTACCCCGCCATGTCTTCCTCCCGCCCCAATCCGGAACCCGCACTCGGTTCAGAAACACTAACCATCCAGTCCCTTCCCGAAGTGAAAGGCACTAATAATAATAATAATAATCCTTGCGTTTGATATCGCGCTTTCCACGTCGGAAGGACGTCTCAAAGCGCTTCACAGAACACACTGTAAAGTGAATTGACTGTATATTTGTGGGCGAACGCGGCAGCCAATTGCGCACAGTGATGTCGCACAAACAGTCGAAGTTTGAAAATGACGAATTTATTATTGTTTTTGGTTTTTGGAGGGATTATTATTAGGCTCTGTGTGGAGTAAGGAAACTTGCCCAAGGTTTTGCCCTCTGCCGGGAACTGAACTCAGGTCTCTCGCTTACAAAGCGAGTGCTCTAATCACTGAGCTGCAGGACTCCAAAACTACACGTGTAGTTTCGTTATTGTTCTTGTTGTAAAGGCTAACCTTGAGATGGTCAGGTTGTCGCTGGTTTCTTTCTTCCTCAAAAGCTGTCAAACCAACGGGATTGTCATGAACAGTTTCCACAAGAAATTTGTCCTTCACATTGAGGGTGATGTGAAATCTAGAAACCACAATAAACCCGCGATTCAATGTCACTCCAGCGCTTGGCTCTCTGTGCGCATGTGGTGATGGATCAAGACGCATTGAATCGGGAAAACTGTAGTCTTAACCCGTTCCTGACATTTTCTGGCTGTACTAAATTGCACATATTTATTAAAACTAATTATCCACAATTTGTATAGTCTGCAATTCGGACTTCACGCAGAGTCCTGCAGCTCAGCGGTTAGAGCTCTCGCCTCACATGCTGGAGGACCTGAACTCCATTAATACAAGAATTATTATTATTATATTCACATAAGTCATATTCAATGTTTGGGTCCAGACGGATATGCTTCTCTGATGATTTATTGTGGTACATTTAGAGGTTTCGGGATTGCTAATATTCATTTGTCTGTTTGATACCTGGAAAGGGCTGAATCTTTTACTTGGCCAAAGGTGCAGAGTGACTAAAGATTCCAACAAAACTCTTCTATTCATTTATTTACAATTTTGAATATAAGTTTCCTAATGGTTTGCGTTATTTTTGTTATTTTTGTGGAGTGATTTAATCAGTGGAGTCCTGTAGCATATCAGTTAATAACTCGTCATTTAATAATAAATTCAATAATAATCCGCGCATTTGATACGCCGTCTCATCGCGTACCCGAGACGCCTGAAAGCGCTTCACAGGATATATTGTGAAGTGAACTGACTGTATGTTTTGTGGGCAATATACTTGGGTGACGCCTAAATGTCTGGGCTATTTGTGGCCCCAGTGACCTGTTTGGATGACTGCAGTGACGGGATCAGCCTTTCGTACAGTGTCAATGTACTGTT